AAAAATGGCTCCTTAATTAGCTCTCAGTATAGACGCCTTGAACGCTGGAAATAACACTTCGAGGAACAGTTTAACTTGCATACAGCCACACTGAGCCTCCCCGCCATCCAGCACACACCCGAATGGGATGTAGACACTGGCCCGCCGTCTGTAAGCGAGGTCACAAAAGCTATCTGTAATTTGAAACGAGGCAAAGCGGCAGGACCCGACGGAATTATTCCGGAGGTGTTTAAATATGGGGTTGACATACTAGTATGTAGATTAACTAAGGTACAAGGTAACGTCTGGGAATCAGAGACGGTTCCATCAGATTGGGGTAAGTCACTTATTATACCGATATTCAAGAAGGGAGACAAGTCCTCATGTGATAATCATAGAGGAATCAGCCTGACGAACATATTCTCTAAAATCCTAGGCTCAGTAATCATGAACAGACTAAGCCGAACTCGGGAGGAACAAACGAGGGAAAATCAAGCGGGCTTTAGGCCAGGTAGAGGGTGCATAGATCATATCTTCACTCTCCGACAGATACTAGAACATAGACACACTTTTCGGCGTCCAACAATTGCCATATTTCTTGACTTGAAGGCGGCCTTCGACTCCGTGGATTGAAAGGTACTATGGCAATGTTTGACTGTGAAGGGAGTGCCAAGAAAGTACATTGCACTAATCAAGGCACTTTACTCAAACTCACGTAGCTGTGTAAGGGCTTATGGGGAATTGTCATCTGAATTGATAACAACCAGTGGTGTCCGTCAGGGATGTCCACTTTCCCCTTTTCTGTTTAACTTCATCATAGATATGCTAATGGAAGTATCCTTAACCGAACGTAACGACTTAGGAATCGACTTGTTACCAGGGAATAGTCTTATGGACTTAGAATATGCAGATGACATAGTCCTGTTAGGGGAGGATGCTGACAAAGTGCAGAGTCTTCTGAACACCTTGAGCAGCAATCTCCGTATGTTTGGCATGTGATTCGCCCCTGTAAAATGTAAGATGCTGCTACAGGACTGGACTACATCTACCACTAGCTTAGTGATAGGGAGTGAAGTGATAGAACATGTTGACCACTTCACCTATTTGGGAAGTTGTATCAGCACCAACGGAATGATTGGTGACGAAATCTCAGCACGGATCCAAAAAGCTCGGGCTGCTTTCGCTAACTTACACCATCTCTGGTGTAGGCGTGACATCCGACTATCAACCAAGGGACGTGTGTACTGCTCAGCAGTTCGCTCCGTCCTTCTCTATGGCTCTGAAACATGGCCAATACGAGTTGAAGACATGAAAAGGTTGTCTGTTTTTGATCATAGATGTCTACGATCTCTTTCTCACGTTAGGTGATATAATAAGGTAAGTAATGTTGACGTTAGGCGTAGAGTGTTGGACAAAGAGGGAAAATCAATCGACGAGGCTATAAAGTTACATAGATTGAGATGGCTAGGTCATGTGCTGCGCATGCCTAACCATCGCCTCCCCCGACGGACGGGCATTACTAGCTGATATAGGTGCAGGTTGGAAAAGAGTAAGTGGTGGCCAAACAAAAACATGGCATCAATCCATGAAATCCCTGACAGTTAAACTGAGTCAGTCACGTAGGGAGATGCAGACTTCCGGGTTGGGGCCCTCGGGACTCTAAGAATCAATGGCTGGAGACAATAGGTGACATGGCTCAAAATTTCGTTGTCAATGGCTTACGCAGATGTATTCAGTCTCTGTAATCTTTCATATTCCTTTCTACCATTACTCATTATGTTTCACTCTTATACTTGTCAAAACTCTATTGATTCTCTTCACTCATTTTCTTGTCTACCTTTGTGTGCTATTTGGAACATGGCAACTCGAACTGCTGCACTTTGGTGCCAAGTTCTATGTTGAATCCAGCCAGCCAGCCCGGCCACCGACGCACTCTTTACCTCGCTAAGCCAGTAATAAGGCTGGTAAAGAGGGAAGGTTGGGCATGAGGCTAGCAACCCCATCCCGTAAAATAAACACCACTGCTACCGAAACTTCAAGCCTGTAGCTTGAAGCCTTATGTTCCACTGGGAACATAAACATATAAAGAAACTAAGGATTATGAAATTATGCGAAAAACAAAATTGGTAACCCCTAGTATGCAGTCGAATAAACAGATCAGTATTCAATTCACTGAATCACTTGTAAGGAAAGATGACAAGTGCTACAGTAACTTTTTTGCAGAGATTTTCTAACCACCTAGCTAGTAAAAACATGAAGGTATTGACAATAGAAGATCAAGAAACATCAGCAGTTTCTCATTGACATGGATTATAAATAGCATTGATGAGGATCACGACTTATCTGTCCTTCGAGTGAATCAATTACTCCTGAAGCCTATAAACAACTAGAATTCATTAAACAAGTGCTCAATCATTTTACCAAATACTATTCTCACTTCTGAATAATTTACATGGGCAGGTTATAGAATTATTAGATAGAAGGTAGAGTGAAGTAATTATACTATCCTTAAGGAAGTTATTTGGTTGGGGTAGTAACTAGCAGTGGAATCCAAGACAGGCATTTCGTCCTATTTCAGGCTCATCATCTGGATGTGCTTGCAACCCCAGTGACTGATGGTCCTATTGGGACTGGAACCCAGGATCCATTGTTTCTAATAACATCGAAGCCTTATCTACCACCAGGCCAATATAAGTAGAAATTATTCTTCTTCTAAACTAAATGAATGCATGCATACATACATACAACTGCCAGTTTTGAGCATAAATTTTAGTTATAATCTACAAAAAAAGTAGCTAACAAAATGTTAAGTTGTTGATGGAATTAACTTAATTAGCACGGGGACACAGAGATCAAAGTCAGAGATATTTTCTGCTGATAAGGTCTGTCTGTCTGTTTTCAACACAGAACTTCGCACATATGTGCGGCTGTTCAAGTCGCCACACTCCATGTAGCACACAAAGCTAGAGAAGAAAGTAGGAGAAATGTATATTAGAGACAGTAAACAGAGTTGTGAAACAAAGGTATAGTAATAACGAAGAACAAAACAATTTCATCGGAAATCATAAGTCACAAGGAGTGGATGCATCTGCACCAGCCACTGAGAACGATTTTGAGCCATGTCACCAACTGTTTCCAACCATTGGTTTTTACCGTCCCGAGAACCCCAACCAGGAAGTCTACACCTTCCTACGTGGCTTAGACTAACTGTTGTAGATTTCATTGACTGGTGCCATGTTTTCGTTTGACCGCCTCTAGCTCTTTACCAGCCTGACCTTATATGTGCTATCATTGCCCGTCGAGGAAGGCGATGACTAGGCATATGTAACACATGTCCTAACCATCTCAGTCGATGTAATTTCACAGCCTCGTCGATTGATTTAACCTCCTTACTTAGCACTCGATGCCTAACCTAAATATTGCTTACCTTATTATACCACTTCTCGCGGGAGATAGAACTCAGACACCTATGATCAAATACAGCTAATCTTTTCATGTCTCAATGGCTAGGTCTCACAGCCATAAAGGAGGACGGAGCGGACTGTTGAGCAGTACACACGCCCTTTGGTCGATAGCCGGATATCACGTCTACGCCAGAGACGGCGTAAACTGGCATATGCGAAACTAGCCCTCTGTATTCGTGCTGAGTTTTCGTCAGAGATCAACCCGTTGGGGCTGATGGTACTTCCCAAGTAAGTGAAGCGGTTAACGGGCTCTACCACTTCACTTCCTATTCCTAATCTAGGAGTCGATGTAGTCCAATCCTGTAACATCATCTTGCATTTGGCGGGAGCGAATCGCATGTCAAACATTCGTAGATTGCAGCTCAAGGTGTTCAGAAGAATCTGTATTTTGTCAGCGTCCTCGCCTAGAAGGACTATATCGTCTGCATATTCTAAGTCAAGGTATTTAGAAATAATCCCTAGAAATTATTTAACCCACACCCTACCAGCTAGCGATAAGCACAGTAGAGGAAAGAAAAAGAAGTGAGGAAAACTGAAGAAGTAAAGAATGGAAAGATTTTCAGTAGCGACAGTAGGCGAATGGGTGATGACATCAATTCATTTATTTTAAATGAAGTTATTCTCCAAAAACTCATTCAATAATGTGAATTAGTAAATGCAGACACCTGTGTGTAATAAGTCATCACCAAAACTTATCGTATTGTGTATGTATGACGGCGAATAAGTGAAACGGCCATCCAGTGTTTATCTCACTTCGATCTGGTTGGATAACAGTTACTACTGGCTGATGTGAGTGGTGTATCCAACATCTCACATCAATTAATCAACCAATCAATCAGCAATAGGCACCATCATGTGCTTGCTTTCTTGACTGATTGGTAACAAGCAGATCAGGTATTGTAATCCCAGCAATTTCGGTTTCCAAAGGACATGTTATGACCGGAACTACGACCTAGTGGACTATGAGCGAATGCTAACTTAATGCGTTGGCTAATCTGTCCTAATCGCCCGTGAACAACAACAACACCGTCCGCACGCAAAGACAAAAGAAAAGATTGGAGGTTAGTAAGAGAGCTCTTACTGTCTCAAACAACAGTCAAAAAAAGTTGACAGTTCTTGCGTATATATATACATATGTTTAAAATGACCTTGAGAAGCACTAATGCCATTGATAAATTAAGACAGTGAACAACCAATAGAATTTCGAAGGTCATAAGCGTAGGGTGAGAGAAAATCAGGTCATAAATCAATAAGTGGAGTGAGAGTTATGTAAACAGACATGTAGAAAATTAGGTCTATTTATCAGGACACCGGGATGAAATTTCGCCTAGAATTGTGTAATTTACAAATTGAGAATTTGATTCAGTGTGTATTACCAGTTCACTTAATTAGCTAGATAGGATTTGGATGGTTTAAACTGATGATTGGGCTTTCTTAACAGAGTCACTACATCAGATATGCCGCTGATGAAAGCTAATAAACCATAGTCCCACCCAGTTACAAAATTATGAGCTTACATTTGAAAAAGAATTTAAAAAAGTCTTTTAGTAAGAAAATTGTATTTAAACACGAACGATGAACAACACTTATGTATTATTATGGAGAAAAATATAGTGAAAATTTCTTCAAAACAATAATTCCAACATGAGTAAAGCACTCCTCAGTAGTCACACGCACGCACACACACACATACACAAGTGAATACACTGAATATGTGATTTGCAGAAATCACAAGAACTTCCCTTCCATCCAGACTATTTTTTTTCTGTTTTACTTCATATGAGCTTGTTTCCATGATGGTATAGGCTTCAATTGTCTTTTAATAGAAAGTGGAGATGTAAAACGTAGTGCATATTGAGGTCCTCCAGCTTTATCATTTGTACCTTGAAAAATGAAAGAAAGTAAGTGAGGTAGTAAGATGTCTCACAAAGTGTAAATGAATTAAATTTCATTCCTATAAGTATTTTTTTAAAAGTGATGTAATAAAACTTTCATTAATTTAATTTTCACTAAATTGTCTAGTATCACAACAACTCGAAGACCAACAAAATGGTAGAAGAAGAAGAAGCAAAGACAGGACTTCAAGTGAACATAGAGAAGTCGGAGATGATGAAAATAACCAGCCAACCACCCTCCACCACCAATAACAACTAGCACCAAACACTATCAACGGAAGAAATTTGAGAGAGATCACTTCCTTCACTTATCTAGGAAGTATTGTGGTGGTGTGATACAGACAATGTGTGCGAACGGAATGTTATGCTCACATATTCCCACAGTTCAATACTGCATACTATATATATATATTTTATTTATTTTTGATTATAGCTTGATTCCACACCGTATTATTGGTACAAGTATGGAATTTTCAGCATGTGATATCGGTAGCCCAAATTTAGCAGGCCGACCAATTGATATCAGGTGTGTGTCGGCTGGGGATCGAACCCCGGACCATGTGCATGGTCGGTGAGAGTCCTAACCGCTGTGCCACTAACGCATATATATATATTTATATATTTGGACATTCTATTTTTTGTCGTTTGATATAAACCGAAATCACAAGCTCAATGATTGGTTAACGAATATAAACTGTACATATATAAACAGCGGTTTGATTAATGAAAAATATACCTTGTCTCCCGTGTCTTGCCTTCTGTTGTTACAGTATCATTTTAACTACAGGCACACACGGTAGGGATGAGGATGTCAAAATCAGAATCAGAAAGGCAAGATAGACCTTTATCACCCTGAAATCAGTTTGGAAATCCTCAGAATAACATTAGGATTTTCAACATCAATGCTATATGGGTCAGACACTTGGCGCGTTACAAAAAGCACTTCAAACAAACTGCAGACTTTTTATCAACAACAACTGCCTTAGCTCCATACTGAAGATCAAATGCCGGCTAGAAAGAACTAGCAACGAGAAATTCTGTGAACAAAACAACCAAGAATCTATTGCTAAAAACATATGCAGAAGAAAATGGAGATGGATTGTGCACACTCGGAGGAGATCGTCGAATAACATCACGCACCAGGCCATAGCTCAAGTGGAACCCAAGTGGGAAACGACGTGTTAGACGTCTGAGGGTGACATGGAGGAGATGAGAGATTATAGACAATTGTGGACCCAGCTGAAGAGGGCCGCAGAGAATACGAAAAGGTGGAGTCGTGCTGTTGAAGCTCTACATTCCACTCGGAACCAAAGGGAACAGTAATAATAATAATAATGTATATAGATATGTGACCGAGAAGTTTGAATTTATCCCCTAGTCTTTGTCTACTTATAACTTTCTGGTCACTTAGGTTTACTTTCATGAAAAATTCTCATGAAATTTAAAGTGCATACCTTATCTTTAATATAAATACAACCATAAAACTCGATTAAAGTTGTCTGAAACAAATAACCTTCACAGTTAATTTTATTACAAAGGAACTCGTAAAAAATACTATAAAAGGGTAGGCATGATAATTGTAAACGACCTCCTACTCGAATGATGTCGTCTACCACAAATGGATTGAGTTTCTTTATCGTAGATCCGCGGACAGTGCCACCTTTCATGGCTTTGCAGGACGACCGCATATGACGTAGCAACTCGTTGCTCATGCCAACCTTTCCAACTTCATAGCCATTTGCAATGTTTCTACAATCACTTGCTGCAGACTTCAATGCCTCAATCTCGTCGGGAAATGTAGCGCTCTGCACTAACTTAAGTATATGCAACTTGGCTTTGCTGATATCCTCTAGCGAAAGTTTGTAAGCGATAAACGGTTTTCCGCCCTTTCGCATTTTCAAATTGCGGATAAAATGCTGACATAAGGCGAAAACTCTTAGCACCTCAAACCATGAAGTGAACGCTCTGAATCTATCTAGTAGTTGACCCTGTTCCTGTAGTGTATTCGACCCACAAGTTTCGTCCACTAACACATTATTGCTGATAACACTTTCATCTTCATCCATATAAGACCAATTCTCTTCCCTGTCCCTTAGGAATTGTGGTCCATAAAGCCACTCGTTAATCTTAACATCATTATCTAACGAAAGTCCACGTGAGGCGTAATCAGCAGGATTCTGTTTACTACTGACGTGTCTCCACTGATCTGGTGTGGATAATTCATGGACAACTGCGAGCCTGCTGCTTACAAATCTTTCAAATCTTTTCGTAGTGTTTTTTATCGAATGAAGCACAATTAATGAATCCGTCCAGTAAGTCGTAGACGAAATCGGTACACGAAGCTGTTGTTGCAGATGTTTACCAATCTTGAGACATAATACAGCAGCTACTAACTCTAGTCTAGGTATAGTAACAGATTTCAATGGTGCGACTTTAGATTTTTCCAGCAGTAAAGAACAATGAACTTGGCGGGAAACATCTTCTACAGGGATATATACTACAGCACCGTATGCGAATTCTGAAGCGTCTGAGAAACAGTGAAGCTGAATGCTCAACAGTTCACAAGAAATCGGCATTATACATCGTGGAATACGAATTTTATGCAAATAATTAATATTCTGATACCATCTATTCCAGGCGGCTAGACAGTCTTCAGGTAGGTCTCCATCCCATTCTAATCGCCTTCTACATGTATCTTGCAAAATAAATTAAGCAGGCAGCAATATCAGTGCTATAATTCCAACCGGGTCGAATATGAAAGTCACGTATGACAAAAGAGTCCCTCTGGTTGTTCTTGTTTTAAATTCACGACTTCGAAAATAGAAACTATCACGTAACACATTCCATTCTATACCCAGCGTCCACTCGTTATTCTCTTTAGATAAAAGGATATCGATGTTCATCTCTACGCGGTCCTCTTCTGGGATGAACTTCATTAATTCTCGGTTATTACTAGTCCATTTGGTCAGATTAAATCCTCCTAGTTTTAGGATCTGTTTCAGCTGAGTATAAATCAGCTTACCCTCATCTAACGTATTAACACTAGTAAGCAAATCGTCAACATAAAACTGTTCTCTAGCTACTTGAATAACACGCTCGTCGAACTTATCAGCGTTGTCTGCGATAGTCCTTTGTAAGGCAAAGGTCGCACAACTCGGCGAAGATGTTGCTCCGAAAATATGCACCTTCATTCTGTAAACTGCTGGTTCCGTTTTCACGTCGCCGCCGACCCACCATAAAAATCTAAGAGCGTTTCTGTCGTGCGAAGGAACGATCACTTGATGAAACATAGCTTCTATATCTGCAGTGATGCCTATTGGTCGCTGCCGAAATCTCATAAAGACATCCACCAAATTATTTACTAGATCCGGACCAGAATACAGATTTTTATTCAGAGATATTCCTGCGTACTCTGCCGCACAGTCAAACACAATCCTTAATTTATTGGCCTTCTTCGCATGGAAAACCGGATGGTGTGGCAAGTACCGAACCTGTCCATATTAACGTGATCCTCTTCGACCATTTCAGCGAAACCTCTTTCAATATACTGAGGCATTACATTAGTATACTCTTTGTGCAGGTCTGAGTCTTGACAGAGGCGTTTCCTCAACGAATTGAGTCTACTCATCGCCAGTTTTCTATTATTAGGTAAAATTTGTTGTCGACGCCATGGAAGTGCTATCTGATAATGTCCGTCAACTAACTGTATGGACTCTGACATAATACTTAGAGCCTTACGATCTTCAACAGACATGGGCACGTGACCACTCACATCGTCAAACTCATTCTTATAGAACCGTTCGAACATAGCCTCAATTTTTTCTGTAGCTAAGGTATGATTGACCATGCTAGTTTCTCCAAGGGTCTTCCTGTATGGTCCCAGTAATGTCCACCCCAAAGGAGTCTTTATGGCACAAGGTTCGTTAGCTCCACCAAGCCTTTTATCGATCGTTATATGAGCTTCTGGCACGCTGCAGCCAATAAGCATCTTAATTTCTTCATTCTTAACCTCCGGTAAAACTATTCCATCTAGGTGACTCCATGAGGCCATCTGATCTGCTGTTGGCACAACTCTTTGTAACTGTGGCAACCTCTGTACTGTCCATGCTTTGGAAACAGTAACATGAAGGGACGAATCCAACGGAGAGACTTCTAGTTGTACCTGTTTGCAAGACAAAGTGGATTGTGAACCAAGCGTCTTAAGGGAGACTGTCTTAGTTGCTCCTACTAAACCTAATTCTCTTGCTAGATCTTCTGTGACCAGTGTTGCGTCTGAACCGCTATCCAAAAACGCACAGGTTTGAACAACATTACCATTATATCTGGCTAAAATGGGCACTATAGCGAATGCTGTCTCACTTGTCGGAGTCTTGTGCAAAGTCATATCACTACACTGTTGAGCGTTGATATGCACATCATTTTTTATATCGTCGGATAATCCCTGGCTTCTGTGCAGCAATGTGTGGTGTCTCCAACCACAACCTTCAACTGTACAGGACCTTGGAGAACGACAATTCTTTGCTATATGATTTGCTTTTAAACAGACGTTGCATAGTTTTCTCTTGGAAACAAATGCCAGACGTTCATCAAGGTCTTTATCTTTAATCTCCGAACACTGGTCTAGGAAATGTCCTCCCAAACAGGGTGGGATAAATAAACGTGACTCATTCTTAGGATCATTATTCGGTTTTTCGACATTATTCTCTGAGAGCCGGGTAACAAACACTCGGTGTTTAGAATCAGAGTTTTTCTTCGTAGGGATGCTAAACTCTTTACTACTTTTTCCCGTGGAATGACAATTGATTAGCAGCCCATACCTGGTGTTAGCCATATCCAACTGCTCCTTAACAAACAAGCATAAGTCGCTAAATGATGGTTCGCGACCGCTCTTTATGACGTTGCAAGCCACCTTTATCCATTCTCTCTGTGAATGGACAGGGGGTTTCAGAACTAGTTGTTCAATAGTTTTACCAGAGTTCAAGTCTGAAACATAGTTCATCTGTTTTAAAGTCAGTTCGCAGGCTTGCATCTCGTGAGATCGCTTTCTTAATAATGCTGCATCATTGCTTTTAACATTCGGAAATTCTAGGAGTTTCTCTATGAAAGTACGGGCCACAACATGCCTTTGCCCAAATGCTTCTTCTAACAGTTCTAGGGCTTTATAATAACCTTCCTCTGGCTCTAACAAAACGCAGTGTTTGATTACATCTTTTGCTTCTCCCTCACAATACTGAATTAAGTAATTTAGCTTACTTCGGTATCCAATAGCATCATTATCCACCAAGTCTTCAAAATTCTTTATAAAATTCCAATAATTTACAGGATTACCGTCGAACTTAATAATCTCTCTTTTAGGCATGTCCAGAAACTTGGACATGGCTCTGGCGAACTCATCGTTAGGAGATATAGCGACTGTATGAGAGGTAGAAGGCTTGTAAGGCGACTTATTATGATCAGAACATTCACGACTAGCTTGTCGTAATCTTTCCAATTCAATTTCTTTCTCTATTTGGACTATACGCATTTTCGCTAGCTCCAGCTCTACCATATAATTTGATTTATACTCGTTGCTTCCATGGAAATCAGCTTCACTACTCTTTTCTGACTGCGGAGTTAACGTCGGCATAGTCTCATATTTTTCGTCTGCCATACTGTTCGAAACTTTGTAGGATTAATTTTGCCTACAGATTTAGTCCTTCCTCAGTACTGACGACACAGAGTCTTGGCTTAACTATAGTTAAAAACAGAATGACTTGACTTAAACTTTATCTGTTTCTAAAACATAAAATAAATCATACAATTACACCAAGAAAAATATATAAACCCATTGTCACTCAAGAAAATACAAAAACGTTCCAAACGTTTTTCACTCCAGCGTACAGAGTGAAATGGAGATGTGATGTGGGAATTTAAAGGAATAAAATAATAATAGTCTGTCAAATTTCGCTATCTGCAGATTACATAAGTCACAGTTTATAATTTATATATATCATATAATATTCCTTTACATTCCCGCTGGAACATAGGGCTTCAACCTAGAGACTTGAAGTTTCGGTAGCAGTGGTATTTATTTTACGGGATGGGGTTGCTAGCATTATGCCCAACCTTCCCTCTTTACCAGTTTTATTACTGGCTTATTGAGGTTTAGGAGTGCGTCGGTGACCGGTGATCGAACCCCAGACCACATGCGTAGTTGGCGAGCATTCTACTGCCGTGCCACCGACGAACACAAGTTTACGAGTAAAGGCCAATTTTCATGTATTGGTTTTGTAGGGATTTTGTTTGATTGCATGGAGGATTTCATGATGAGCTGACATCAGTTAGAGAATCACTGGATAACCTGGGAGTACTTGACTGCTGCTTTGTTCTAGTTTGGGACTCTTTAGCAGTACACACCCAATTTATTTAGTAATAAAACACATTTACCTGATAATCTAGCGCCTCCAAATGGTTGTTGACCAACTACAGATCCAGTCGATTGAACATTTACATAAAAGTTACCAGTTGTATCAATAAGACGATCAGTTGCAGACTTGATGAATGCTTCATCTTGAGCAAAAATAGCACCTATATGTATATTAATGAAACAATAAACAACCATGTAGTAAATTCTCGGATAAATTCAATTTACATGTATAATGTACACTGTAATCAAAATACCGATATTCTCTTCTAGCAATCAAAAATAAACCACATTCACGTAAGGACAAAGTTTAGTGAGTTACTCTGTACTTCAAAGGACTCTTATCTTTACAAACGACACTGTTGCCCTACAGGCTTATCATGAAGGTGAATAATGTTATCCATACTATTGATTGTGTTCATACATGAAATTCGACGTAATAGACATTTTCTTTAATACTTGAGTTTGAGGAGGATTGATTAATAGGGGGTTCATTAATCATAGCTACTTATATAGCACACACAGACACACGCTGAGAAGACCATTAGGTGACGTCACGTGACAGACTCTCGAATGGGAAACGGCACATTAGGCGTCCAAGAGTGGTATTTAAGAAATCGTGTGAGGAGGAGATGACAGTTTATGGTCAACCATGGAGCCAGCTGAAGGGGACTTCAGAAAACAGAATAAAATGGAACCTAAGGAAATAATAATAATAGTAATAGTAATAATAATAATAATGACATTATCTCTCTAAAGTATCGAATGACCATGGACCACTTAAATAACGTCATTTCCGTTCTACTTTTAAATGTGTACAAAAGGAGATGGTCGTGACTCTGAATCTACCATGGTAATACGTTTTACTTATTATTCTACCTCTTATTATTATTATTATTGATTCATTTAAAACTATCCTTTATCAGTAGGATTATCTTAACTCACTTCAACACTATTATTATTGTTATTATAACTATTACTATTGATATTACTCTGTTTGCAATTCTTGTTATATTCTCTAATGTCTAATTGTTTATCTAAGTGATGTAATTGAAGCGTAATGCAATTTATCTTAATTTTGATCTCTCATACCCTCTCTCCCCTTATCTATTTGAACATGACCTGGAAAACATTCACACCTGTCTTTCTGCATGACTAATTCAATGTAGTTCATTTACTTATCAGTCTTATATCTCCCAATATCATTTCAAAAGTATATATATCCGTGTATGTAGAGTATTCAGCTGACGAGTTCTACCGAAATTTGATGAATTCATTAAATCCTGCTTTATTAACCTTTATTGCTTGTTTTACTTTTAAATGACTTGATAAAATATCCTCTCACTTAAATTTGCATAGATAGGACAACTAACATAGAACTCTTCACGAGGAACGTGACAGAAATAAACTAATGAATTCTACATCAAAAAGTAGGTTTGAAATTGATCCCTTTAGACGATCGATCTTCAAACAACCAATCACTAGAGTTTGAAAACTGCAGCAGGACAGTCTCAACATGGCTAACATACAACACATGTAGCTAGTTATAAACAGCATGAAGATGAATATGGTTTTTGAGTTGCATAAAATGAGTAACACTGTCTAGTGGCTATTAACCCAAGAGGTGTGGGCTCTCAGTGGCTTATGCCATCGACTTTCAGTAAGTAGATCTCGGGTTCGAGGCCCTCCTCATACAATGTGTAGCTCATAACCTGAAACATGAAATACCTGTTTCGGGGAATGAGTTCAAACAGACAAATCGAATTATTGAATAACAGATATTCCAGCTTAAGTTCTAAGCATTTTGAAGGTCTAGAATCACCACGAATGGTTGACTTGGGTACACCTACATATGAGGGAAAAGAGGAATCAAATAGTTTCTTGTTGTTGGGTAAAAAATACTTACAGTTTACAGTATAAATAATGATAAGAATAAAACGTTAATAAGAAAACTATATATATATACAGCAATTCACTCACCAGTCAATGCATACTCTGTGGTTGTGTTGACCAAGTCTAATGTTTTATCGACTTCATTGTCACGATACACGTATGCACATACAATTGGTCCGAAAATATCATCCTGAAAACAGAGAGAGAAAAATAAATCACCGATTTTCATCAGTGTCATATGTTTTATAAGTTATCAAATAATATCCCACGAGCAGAGCAAGAAAGATATGTACGGATGATCACTTACAAAAGGAACTTGAATAAATTCATGATTTCTTGACGGAGGTGGGGGGGGTATCCGAGTAGATTCATAAAGAAACATATAAAAACACTGGGTAGTAAACTTGAGATTATGACAACACAGGAAAAACCTCTATTTATTAAGCTACAATTTAATGGGAACTTATCAAGTGAGATTTCGTTCGAGAGACTTTCCAGAAGTATACGAAGAACGTTTTATGCAGCCAACCTATGCTTGTCATTCTCTAGCCAACGTATGATTTGGAATCAAACAAAGGATAAACTAGATAGTTTTACCGCATCTATGTTTATTTATCAATTCAACTGCTCCCACGGTGACAGTTATATTGGGCGTACTACTAGACAGCTTAGTAAACGAGTCACTGAACATCTCCCATCGTGGTTCTGCGATGGACAGACAAAAACCATGTGTAGCTCGGTTTTGTCACATTTATTGAAATCAGATTTGACATTCTCAGCTCGTTTACTTTGCACAAGAAGACAGAACAGATGGAACAGTACAAAGCAAACGAGCTGAGAATGTCAAATCTGATTTGAACAGGAGCCTCAAATCCGTCGAAGTACAGAGGAAGTTCCCCATTGATCCCAATACATTTAGTGAAAACGAAAGCATTCAAGGAGATTTCATCGCATCTCACCGAATCTTCCCAGTGGACTTCGTATTCGTCTACTGCATATAGCTGAGACGATAGGCATTCGAACTATTCAGCCTAAACTATGCATTCAGAAGAAGTTCGTAAAGTCATTATCCCTCCCTTGGCCTATTAAGACATAACCAACTGATGACGTCACCACCACCCCTTACTTATATTTTCAGTCCCTCTTTTATCATCCCTTAATCTTATCACATCATCATTAAAACATAATTTATTTACTTCCCTTACAATCTAGCATTACTTAATCGGAGCATTTGTTTTTCTTAGCCTTTATCGACTACTTCTACCTGAACATTTATTTGTTTAATTATGCTGTTTTTCATTATTCTTGTTATCACAGATCGCCTTACTTTTCCATCTTTGTTGTTAATAGAATTATTATTATTATGATTAATTGCACAATTTATATGCACAATCTTATTATCCTATTGACAAATCACCGTGATTGGTTTATATTTTAATATTTATTTGTAAAGTTATGTATATTAGAGTTAAGCCTGATGAGATCTAATTGAAAACAATATTGTTGTTCTAAAGAATACTTGATAAAATCCTACATAACCAAGACAGGGTAAGGAGAGTGGAATAAACTCTTCTCAATAATTTAAAATACAGGATTTTCATCATGAGCTGACATTGGTTAGAGAACCATTGGAAAACCTGGGAGTACTGGACAGCTGTTTCGTCCTAGTTTGAGACTCTTCATCAGTCCACCGACCTTGTAACCAGAAGATCCTGGGTTCGAATCCCGGTGGGTACGTACTGATGAAGAGTCCCAAACTAGGACGAAACAGCTGTCCAGTACTCTCAGGTTTTCCATTGGTTCTCTAACTAATGTCAGCTCATGATGAAAATCCTGTAACCAATCAATCCCTACAAACGAATTTACAAATTGTCAATTGACTACCACCTTATACTGTAATCCTACAGTTCTATTTCGTGCAATCAAGAAACAAGGTGATAAAAGAGGTAATCACATCAAAAATTGTTTTAGTCAGTGGGGAATCATTTACGAAACAATTAATATCCCACCACCAATATGAGAGAGAATAATGACTTAGACAATATGGTCAATATTGGCAGTTAAAACTTTTAAATGATCTGAAAACTACTAGGAGGAGGAGTGGTACAGATCACATCAATTTTCGTCTGTGGTTAAAACAACAGACTGTTTACTAGGATGTTACTGTTTGGCTGATGGTGGACTAGCAGTGGAATGCAGGATGCGCATTTCATCCTATTTGGGATCCATCATCTGGATGGTGTTCCCACCGAGACTCGAAACTGCACCCATCATTACAAAAGACAAATCGTTATCCACCAGGTCACTAGGTCACAAGAGTCACCTCTTGTGCAATGGGTATGAGTTGTTATTGTTTAATCAATCGGCGGGAAATGCAAGTTAACTTAAACAATAAGGACTGAAACTAATGTCGATAGTGGTCAGTTGTCTACTGACAAATGTGTAACGATAACTGCTTTATCCTGGTTATGAGAGACATCAACGGTAAACTAGTATCTCATTCACTAGCTACAAACAAACGGTACAGTACTACAGAATGTGCTGTCCTCCATTGTTATACTGAATTTCGTCATAAACTATCATCCATAATGAGTTGACTCCATAAATCCTAGTCCACAACCTGATTTAGATTTGGATATATGTACATATATATATATATATATATTTCATGGAGGATTTCATCATGAGCTGACATCAGTTAGAGAACCACTGGAAAACCAGCTGGGAGTACTGGACACCTGTTTCGTCCTAGTTTGGGACTCTTCAGCAGTACGCGCCCACCAGGGTTCGAATCCAGGACCTTCTGGTTACAAGGAGACCTCGTAGACCATTGAGCCACTGGGACCCGATCCAATGATCTGCCCATGAATTCTAACTTCTGTCAATTCACGACATAGCGCGACCATTTTGCAATGTCTTCTTCGATGAGTTACTGCCTCATCTTCAACCTGCTGTACCCTACTGGTCACGGCTTCCCTACAAAACCAATACTTGAATAATATATATATGTATATTGGAAAAAAACTATTAAATCCAAACAGAATCACAAATTCTAAGGGAATAAACTGTTACATATGATATCAAAAAAAGAAAGAATAATCATTCGGTGATAAATGAAAGCCGACTTAAGGAATCATTTTATTTAGCCGGTGGTGTCTGGCTATGGAATTCAAAATGCGCGTCTCATCCTACTTCGAACTCGTCACTTGGATGTACACCTATGTCGAGACTTGAGCTCACTCAGCACGTATCATCTCAAACTCCAAAGCTTCTGAAATAATAGAGAACATTTGTAGCTCAGATGGATGTTTTTGATGTTATTGTAGTCAGCGCTGAAGATGTTGTCTAGAGGTACAGAAAGTTTCATAATTAAACCATCCAGCTCAAGAAACTCAATAACATAAACATCAGATAGCTATCAACTAGATTTCTGAGTCACGAGTACGGACACTTTCGTACTAGCAGCCGACATGTCAAGACGCGCAAGGCATTTCACTCCAGTAAAATCAGACAAAGATAAATTAGAAATAATTTCAAGACATCTTTATTAAATTTTTGTTAAACCCTATCATTTTTATTAAGTAGGATGGATAAATCAGGTTTAAGACACACATAGATAAACATTGCTGTGAGATGGTTGGAGGCAATCAACCGAAATTATTAGACCCATGTTTCGCGCTTGTAGACACACGTCAGCAAGGCGTATCTGCAATCTTGAAGGAACTCATCTTCCTTCTGAGATTCGAACCCGAGCCAACCAGTGCTGCAGTCGGAAACGTTGCCACAGAGCTGTTCGGGCTCGCAATTGACCTCCTGTAGGACTGACTGTATTGGATACTTTGATCGAAAACTAGGTAGTAACTAATGTCATGAATGAATTCTATCAGTCATCTTATCTCAGATAACTAAAAAATGAAAGGGACTCAAAAGTCTGAATGAATTAAATCTGATATATTATGTTAATAAGACACTTCTTTCTACCGAAAGCATCAAGAATTTGAAGCAGGAGTGATAATACTTTGATAAAGCTATTAGCATGAAATAGCGAAACGTTAGTAAAAACAATATCGTTTTGTTTTCATTCATTGGGAAATACAAAATACCTTTATTATAATGAACAGGAGTATTCAATTGATCGATAAGTTAGGTTTACAAAAAACACATTTGAATTCGAACACTGCGCTACAAGATATCAGAAAGTACTTAGCCAGAATTCAGTTGATTTGAACTGATTTGGCTATCTGATCTGAGTCAAACCCAGAACACTGCTGATGTAATCAACTACAAATGAGCGAAACGACGGTTCAGTGTTTAGATAACTATTCTTTAATGTGAGCGGTAACCATCTACTTATATCAGTCAATTAGTAGCTTAATAAATTATCCAAAATTCAATCGTAAACGAAATATGAAAGAATATTTCCCTTTAAACTAGCCTATAAAGAAATTCATATCATTTAACATTTTAAAAAGATATTAAAATGAACAATATTCACCTTCATTAATTTATCCGTTGGATTCTTGGTTCTCAATATTGTAGGTTCAATAAAATAGCCAACTTTATCATTTCCATGACCGCCAGCAATAACTTCAATATCTGGACAACTTGATGCATATTGTAGGTAACTAGAAATTTTTTTGAATGCCTAAAATAAAACATACAATTATTTTACTTATAATAGTTGGTTGAAAAAATTTATATATATATATATAAACCAACCGAAAGTAGAGAAATTTGAAAGAATACTGTCCACCTCTGATTATACACACATAGAGCCAGAAAACAACTAATAAGATGTATCGTTCCAGAGATGAATTAAAACAAGTTTGAACCAGAAGAAAAAGAACACTACAAATGTCCAAATCACGAAAACAAAACACTTATATCACCATTGTTTTAAGAGTAGATTTATCAGGAACTATAAAGTTACCGCTGATTAGTTTTTTCATTACTTTGCTTCCAACTTGAGCTCTGAAGTTTCAGTGGCAGTGGTGCTGTCATTTTTACGGGTTGAGATTTCTAGTCTCACTCCCAACCTTCTGTCTCTACCACGCTTTCTACCGGATAAGTGAGGTATAGGCGTGCGTTGGCCAGGAATCGGACTCAGATCACGTGCGTGGTTGGTTGGCGAGCATCCTACTATTGAAACACCGACGCGGTTGGTATTTTCAACTACTACTAATTTACAAGTATTGGTTTTGTAGGGATTTTTTGTTTGGTTGGTTGGAGGATTTCATCATGAGCTGACATCAGTTAGAGAACCATTGGAAAACCAGCTGAGAGTACTGGACAGCTGTTTCGTCATAGTTTGGGACTCTTCATCAGTACGCATTGAACCCAGGACCTCCTGGTTACAAAGCGAGCTAGCTCGTAGACCATTAGGCAGCCACTGAAACCCGATCCAGTGGTCAGTCCATTAATCCTAACTTCTGCCAATTCATGACATAGCGCGACCACTTCGCAATGTCTTCTTCTCCTATGAGTTACTGCCTCACTTTCAATCTGCTGTACCCTACTGGTCACGGCTTCCCACTAGAACCGCAGGTTAACTGCCTGAATAGCGCCAGTCGCTAGTGAGCATCAGATTAATTAATTTTCAAGTATTGGTTTTGTAGGGATATTTTGTTTGATTGGTTGTAGGATTTCATCATGAGCTGACATCAGTTTACTATATAACCTCACCAACTTCCATAGGGTTTTAACTGGTCCTTTAAATAAATAATTATGACTGTTGATTGAATCTTAAGCTTAAGAACGGCTGTTTGTAATAAGACCACTTGTACGCATACAGCTCAAAAGAGTGTAAATGCATTTCAACAGGTGATCCAATACTAATTAGTTTACAGGAAGACAATTATTTTTTTAAAATCTGTTCTAATGAAAAATACAAGTATCTTCTCCTACAATTAGCTACAATGTTTGAAGAAAGGTGGAAAATATCACAAACATTAGATAGAGCCTGTAGTACTGTCACGAAGAGAAATCAATAACAAATAACTTGGAAACATAAATCAGTAAAATGTACAAAAGGTTTAATCAACCAACGTGCCATCTGTATATGTCATCTTTAACTAGTGGAAAAATGAGGATACTGGAGATGGCAGATAAGATAGCCTAATCTTACTTAAGTACCTCAAGTAATTGTCCATTGACCGCTTCACTTACTTGGGAAGTACCATCAGCCCCAACGGGTTGATCTCTGACGAAATCTCAGCACGAATACTGAGGGCTAGTTTCGCATATCCCAGTTTACGCCGTCTCTGGCGTAGACGTGATATCCGACTATCGACCAAAGGGCGTGTGTACTGCTCATCAGTCCGCTCCGTCCTCCTTTATGGCTGTGAGACCTGGCCATTGAGAGTGGAAGACATGAAAAGATTAGCTGTCTTCGATCATAGGTGTCTGCGTTCTATCTCCCGTGTGAAGTGGTATAATAAGGCGAGCAATATTGAGGTTAGGCGTCGAGTGCTAGATAAGGCGGGGAAATCAATCGACGAGACTGTGAAATTACATCGACTGAGATGGTTAGGACATGTGTTACGTATGCCTAGTCATCGCCTTCCTCGACTGACGGGCAATGTTAGCTGATATAGGGTCAGGCTGGAAAAGAGCTAGCGGTGGCCAAACGAAAACATGGCACCAGTCAATGAAATCTACAACAGTTAGTCTAAGTCACGTAGGAAGGTGTAGACTTCCTGACCGGTTGGGGTCCTCGGGACGGTAAAAACCAATGGTTGGAAACAATTGGTGACATGGCTCAAAATCGTTCTCAATGGCGCAGATGCATCCACTCCTTGTGACTTATGATTTCCAATGAAACTGTTTTGTTCTTCGTTATTACTATTCCTTTGTCTCACACCTCTGTTTACTGACTATATTATGCATTTCTTCTACTTTCTTCTCTTGCTTTGTGTGCTACATGGAGTGTGGCGACTTGAACTGCCGCACATCAGTGCAAAGTTCTATGTCGAAAACAGACAGACAAGTAATTGTCTGTCTAACTTTCAAGTACTGATATTTTACAATACATCGATTACATTCAAAATGTTTATTAGAAATTTCTCAAATTAAAACGACACACTAATGTGTTCTAGCGTAGCAGTAGAATCACTTGTTGTATGCAACACAACACCAAAACAGAACATCCTAAAGGATAAATCATTCACTGCGAGATTAAATGATAATCACAAGTAAGTTCATAAAACAAAGAAGCTCAATTGTTGATAAAAAAGTCTCTATTAAGGGAACTATAAATATAGCATCACACCTTATGCTTAAAATAACCTATAAAAATAGATATTTATAAAAACAAATATTTTATAAGCAGTCAGAAAGAGATAATATTACATTCGGTGGACTAAATGTAGGGAATGAAATTGGTTACTTTCTAATTATGAGAATTTTTGACAATATGAAATGTCACACTTCTCCGACCCTATTCACCGCTGACTGATTATAATCAGAAGAGGATTCACCGCAAGAGTTAAACTATTGAATATAAATTTACATTTACTAAATAGAGGTGTATTATCAAAATAAAAACGAAGTTTATGATGAAAGTATCCCTTAAACAAAGATACTAGCAGGTAGTTGTGCTTATGAAAGTAAACGCGTGGTTAGTAATTCTTGGCTGCCCTTATCAAGAAATTTGCTATCTTCTTCAAACACCTGAAACAGAAAGAGTATTAGTGTTGCTTGACCACAGAGCCTAGGGGACAACTACTTGAGTCAAGCAACATATAACCTGTTTTCGAAGTAGTTTTTAGAATGATGTCCAAATAAAGACCTTACTGCTAGCTACGAACTCCCGCAGAGTAAGTCGGGAGGCAGAATTTTTAGGTTCGACCTTCCCAGAGCGAAGAGGCAGTATAGTTGACATGCTGGTAGTCCGACGCAAACATCTTACACTCCTATTCGTCAGAAGTATGACTTCATTTTCAAACTCCCAACACAGTGTAAACGACTTACAGATTTCTTTTTTTTAAAAGCCTGTTTAATTTACTGTATCGGGAGTAGATAAAATCACATAGACGAGTATTTTATGAAATATAAATAAGTTGTGTAAACGTTGCTGAAGCTAGTGGTTCAGTGGTAGAATGCTCTCCAGCCATACAGATTTGATTTCCGGCGGGCGTACTGCTGCTGCTGCTGGATTCAACATAGAACTTGGCACCGAAGTGCAGCAGTTCGAGTTGCCACCTTCCAAATAGCACACAAAGGTAGACAAGAAAATGAGTGAAGAGAATCAATAGAGTTTTCACAAGTATAAGAGTGAAACAGAATGAGTAATGGTAGAAAGGAATATGAAAGATTACAGAGACTGAATACATCTGCGTAAGCCATTGACAACGATTTTGAGCCATGTCACCTATTGTCTCCAGCCATTGATTCTTAGAATCCCGAGGGCCCCAACCCGGAAGTCTGCATCTCCCTACTTGACTCAGTTTAACTGTCAGGGATTTCATGGATTGATTGATGCCATGTTTTTGTTTGGCCACCGCTTACTCTTTTCCAACCTGCACCTATATCAGCTAGTAATGCCCGTCGGGGGAGACGATGGTTAGGCATACGCAGCACGTGACCTAACCATCTCAATCTATGTAACTTTATAGCCTCTTCGAGTGATTTTCCGTCTCTGCCCAACACTCTACGCCTAACGTCAACATTACTTACCTTATTATACCACCTAACGCGAGAAAGAGATCGTAAACATCTGTGGTCAAAAACAGACAATCTCTTCATGTCTTCCGCTCTCAATGGCCACGTCTCACCGCCATAGAGAAGGACGGAGCGAACTACTGAGCAGTATACACGTCCCTTGGTTGACAGCCGGATGTCACGCCTATACCAGAGACGGTGTAGGTTAGCGGAAGCAGCCCGAGCTTTCTGGATCCGTGCTGTGATTTCGTCACCAATCAATCCGTTGGTGCTGATACAACTTCCCAAATAGGTGAAGTGGTCAACATGTTCTATCACTTCACTCCCTATCACTAAGCTAGGAGTTGACGTAGTCCAGTCCTGTAGCAGCATCTTGCATTTCACAGGGGCGAATCGCATGCCAAACATACGAAGATTGCGGCGGGTGTACACCTAGACCATGCCTAGTTTACTAACCGGTAGTAAGTACGGGAAATAGGAAAGGTTGGGCGTCGGACTAGCGACCCCATCCCGTTAAAAACAACACTACCCCTAATGCGACTTCCACTGGAAACTTAGTTATGCTTAGTACAAAAAGGTGATTGGGCTACCTCTGAGTAATATTCAAGTAAGGAATCATTTAATTTGTCACTTGATGATAAATCTCACTATTAGAAACAAAGCAAGAATAAAATGGAAAGCAACAAAAAAACACAACACCAAATACTTATTTACATTTCGATCTATAACAGCCGAAGTGAATGTATCTGAATCAAGCGGTGATCCAACTTTTAATTGTTTATAGTGATTGAGAAGTAGACCTTTAAATTTTTCCCATAAACTCTCTGGTACATATAGACGACTGCATGCACTACACTTTTGTCCAGAGTATTCAAATGAACTACGAATAGTACCTAGAGCAGCTTCTTCTAAATTAGCAGATGGATGAAGAAAGTGATAATTTTTGCCACCACATTCTAGACAAAAAAAAGAAAGAAAATAATCACAATTAAACTAATAAATGTTATGTAACTCTATGTATATCAATAGGATACTTAAAGAGCAAGTGAACAACTAACTACTATTACCAACAATATAACAGTTCCTGGGGTATATGATACATAATCCTCAACGATATGTTTCCGTTGTTATTCAAACCTCGAACGGGCAACTAACACTCAGTAACTTTATGGATGGATGTTATGTACTTGTCTAGTCACCCTTGAACTTCTTCCTCACTATTCTATTGTTATACTGATAAACAAAACAAGTTGGGATAGATGATTGTAGGAACAAATTACACATATCCCAGTTACCAAAGTTGGTTAAAACTAATAACTAAAATCACTAAAATACTTCTCCTACCTAAAACTATGCCTTACTTCCATTTTGTGCACGTGATGATTCAATAAAGTGCGGACAGGTCTATGAAGGTAATTGCAAAATCATTTTTTTTCCATTCTATATTTTTACACTTTTAGTTCTATACTACTTATTGCAAATAAGTAGACGAGTTATGCTGTCCCATTTTTATCAACATAGTAGTTCAGTTCCGTTATCTATACTAAAACAATTATAAATGGCATTCAGTAGAAATGTCTAATTCCAGTCCAACAATAAATTATACCGTCAAACTGACAAAGTGGCTATGAATAGTCTTTGAAAGCCTGTTCGCGCTGGTATATTTTTTGCAAAGACAGAAACAACATCAACGACAACAACAACATCGGTTATTACAACCAATGAAACGAAATTTCATGCCATGTAGATTTGTTAATGATACTTTCATTTAGTGTAGTTGTAAAACTCATACAAGACAATTGTTTAAAACACTCCATTGACGTCACTAAGAAAATTAGAATAAATAAAACTCTACTTCTCGATTTAGACACTTCACAATGAAGTGATGGGGCTCGTTACGCATACATTTATCGCGAAAAATGCTGTGTTCATTATATTTCAGCCTGTATAGCTGTTAATCCCTTTCCTATTTCCTCCTTGTCATTCCTTCTTCTGTGTTAAAATGTATACTACTTATCCCTAGTAAGTAGTATAAGTTGTATTTGTTAATTCTTAAGCATTTCTTTATTTGTTATGGTGGTTTAACTCATTAGATGTATTAGCAATCTATTAGATGTATAATAATTATTTTCATATAGTCGAACATTATTTGCTGCATATGCTTTATTCGTGTACCCATTACTGTTGAACGTTGTTTATCTGTATCCCTTTATATTCTGTGACTGGCATTCGCGAGCCAACTGAATAACACGTCGATCGCCTTTGACACAGCTCTGCTGTTTTTACCTATTGAAGCATATTGACTGTGCTTTTTGACGGCATTCAGCCACAGACACCTCACAGTTGAGATGTGTATATTATATTTCATATTTTGTGTTTAATGTAGTACCGTTGTAACAACACACGACAAGGGCCAGGCAACAGATCGTTTATTAAGGAAATCAAAGGATATTTATATATTTTCATGTACATTATTATAGATTAGTTAAGCAAACAAACACAGTCTACTGATTGGTTGTTTCTCACAGAAAGTTAATCTTTCCTCTCTTTGTAACTGTTTCTTGAATGTCACATCATCTATATATTAACTGTATCCGCCTAAGCAAAATCTGCTGTGGTCGGTTTTGAATCAGTCTCTGTTCATATTTTCTCACGACAAACCTTGAGAACGTAAACATTGACGTCTGTCTGTCTGGTTGCGTGACCAAGTCTGGATTCAACATAGAACTTGGCACCGAAGTGCAGCAGTTCCAGTAGCCACGTTCCAAATAGCACACAAAGGTAGACAAGAAAATGAGTGAAGAGAATCAATAGAGTTTTCACAAGTATAAGAGTGAAACAGAATGAGTAATGGTAGAAAGGAGTATGAAGGTTAAAGAGACTGAATACATCTGCGCCATTGACAACGATTTTGAGCCATGTCGCCTATTGTCTCCAGCCATTGATTCTTAGAGTCCCGAGGGCCCCAACCCGGAAGTCTGCATCTCCCTACCTGACTCAGTTTAACTGTCAAGGATTTCATGGATTGATTGATGCCATGTTTTTGTTTGGCCACCACTTACCCTTTTCCAACCTGCACCTATATCAGCTAGTAATGCCCGTCCGTCGGGGTAGGCGATGGTTAGGCATGCGCAGCACGTGGCCTAACCATCTCAATCTATGTAACTTCATAGCCTCTTCGAGTGATTTTCCCTCTTTACCCAACACTCTACGCCTAACGTCAACATTACTTACCTTATTATACCACCTAACGTGAGAAAGAGATCGTAAACATCTGTGGTCAAAAACAGACAATCTCTTCATGTCTTCCGCTCTCAAAGGCCACGTCTCACCGCCATAGAGAAGGACGGAGCGAACTGCTGAGCAGTATACACGTCCCTTGGTTGACAGCCGGATGTCACGCCTACGCCAGAGACGGTGTAAGTTAGCGAAAGCAGCCCGAGCTTTCTGGATCCGTGCTGTGATTTCGTCACCAATCAATCCGTTGGTGCTGATACAACTTCCCAAATAGGTCAACATGTTCTATCACTTCACTCCCTATCACTAAGCTTGGAGTTGACGTAGTCCAGTCCTGTAGCAGCATCTTACATTTCACAGGGGCGAATCGCATGCCAAACATACGAAGATTGCTGCTCAAGGTGTTCAGAAGACTCTGCATTTTGTCAGCGTCCTCCCCTAACAGGACTATATCGTCTGCGTATTCTAAGTCTATAAGACTATTCCCTGGTAACAAGTCGATTCCTAAGTCGTTAAGTTCAGTTAAGGATACTTCCATTAGCATATCTATGATGAAGTTAAACAGAAAAGGGGAAAGTGGACATCCCTGACGGACACCACTGGTTGTTATCAATTCAGATGACAATTCCCCATAAGCCCTTACACAGCTACGTGAGTTTGAGTAGAGTGCCTTGATTAGTGCAATGTACTTTCTTGGCACTCCCTTCATAGTCAAACATTGCCATAGAACCTGTCGATCCACGGAGTCGAAGGCCGCCTTCAAGTCAAGAAATATGGCAATTGTTGGACGTCTAAAAGTGTGTCTTTGTTCTAGGACCTGTCGGACAGTGAAGATATGATCTATGCACCCTCTACCTGGCCTAAAGCCCGCTTGATTTTCCCTCGTTTGTTCCTCCCGAGTTCGGCTTAGTCAGTGCATGATTACTGAGCCTAGGATTTCAGAGACTATGTTCGTCAGGCTGATTCCTCTATGATTATCACATGAGGACTTATCTCCCTTCTTGAATACTGGTATGATAAGTGACTTACCCCAGTCTGATGGAACCGTCTCTGATTCCCAGACGTTACCTAGTACCTTAGTTAAACTACATACTAGCATGTCACCCCCATATTTAAACACCTCCGGAATAATTCCGTCGGGTCCTGCCGCTTTGCCTCGTTTCAAATTACAGATAGCTTTGGTGACCTCACTTACAGACGGTGGGCCAGTGTCTATGTCCCATTCGGGTGTGTGCTGGATGGCGGGGAGGCTCAGTGTGGCTGTAGGCAAGTTAAACTGTTCCTCGAAGTGTTCTTTCCAGCGTTCAAGGCGTCTATCCTGAGAGCTAATTAAGGAGCCATTTTTCTCACAAATAGTCTCACTTATGATTTGCCTTCTCCCACCCGTTTCCCTGATGAGTCTAAAGAGTTGCCTAGTGTTGCTTATCGCCTATGCTTTTTCCATCTCTTTCGCCTTTGTCAACCACCACTGTTCACGGTCCTTGCGGAGACTTTTCGTAAGTTTTCTTTTGTGCAGCTTTCGCTCCTCATTGAATTCGGAGCTCGCCGGAATAAGTCTCCTAGCATCTATCAGTTCGGATGAGGCAGTCGAAATCCAATGGTTTTTACTCACCTTTGGATTTACCTTATTCACAGCTTTTACAGCTGTATCTATGGCTGACTGAATATTTTTCCAGGCTTCTTCAGGATGAGCGCAGCTGTCAAACTCAGATATGTGTTTAGCTAGTTCTTCCTCAAATAGGGACTTAGTTTCCTGATCGAGATGGGGACGTGATGGGTTTACCGCCAGCTGTTTCCTACGTCCGTCCAGTCGTAAGCACACACGACCGCGGACCAGTGCGTGGTCGGTATCTACACACGTGTTCCAGAAGGAGTGACAATCCCCTACCGACCCACGCCAACGACAGCTTATTGCTATGTGGTCTATTTGTGTCCAGCGTTGGTTTGATGATGGAGGTCGCCAGGTCAAACAGTGTCTCTCCTTGTGTTTGAAGTTAGTGCTTACAAGAAACAAGTGATTATCTGAACAGAACTGTAGAACATTGACGTAAATTACTGTCTACCGATTTGGCTAGTAGACAGCTCTCACCACACCGTATTATAGGTAAATCCTTTGGATTAATCACATACATCCTAAACTATGTGTACAAAAAACAATAGACTTCAACCTTCGCCTACCATGGACTACTTGACCTATTTAAATATGATTGGTCACTAGTATGTTCTTTTGTTTTATATAACTGTTTCACTCATTTGGTGTCAAGATCATCAGAAGTGTATCCGGTTTGACTTAGATCAGACAGATGAATCACTTAAAACCACTCGAATTCTGTCTAGCTACTACCTGGGTGAACTGGTGTTACATTGAATCAAAATGTCAACTGGTAACACACAATTCGAGATGAAATTTCACCAGTTTCCTTAGGAGTCCGAAATCATTATTTAGATAGAAAAAGATTCTTCAATGTTTTAACCAGATGGTCTAATATCGAACTCTTGATGGTTTTTACTACACCTTTGTTTAGCCATACACTGGTAGGTGTTCTCGAGGACGAAAAACTAAATTCCTAGAGCGACCAACAGCCAATACAAACAGGGCTCCACGGGAGCAGTTGAACTCATAGACACAAGAAAAAGTGGCTAGTCTAGGTAATTCATCTTTCACTTGAGGAGTTAAAACTGGTTGTGAGCTGAAGCTCACCGGCATTAAAAGTTCTTCAAATCGGTTTTCTTGACTTATTGGTTGTTATTTCACTTGATAAGTCACTTGTATAAGCACTATCTTACTCTTAAGATAAGCTAGCATTTACTCATATTCAGTTGACTATATACTGCACTTAGAAATATTAAACATATATGAACAATTTATGTAACTTTAATCAAAAAACAAACTTACCACCTATAGTTCTTGGATATCCAGTGTACTTGTCCAGATTGTTACCAATCATTTTCAAAATAGTACGGAATGTTCTATAGCATAAACAGGTTTTGTTTTTATTTTGAAAAGAAAAGAAAGCGGGTCATTAGAAAATTGAGGTGGGGATCTATGAACCATTATACTATATCATACTTTTACTAAATAAAGAGTGCATGTCAGTATATTGTATATTATTATTATTCCCTTGGGTTCCGAGTGGAACATAGGGCTTCAACAACAATTACTTTTTTATTCTCTTCACCTGGGTCCACGCTTGACCATAATCTCTCATCTCCTCCTCACCACAAGATCTCCTCCATGTCACCCTCACACCGACGACCCACTCGTCGCTTCCCATTTGGATTCCACTCGAGCGATGACCTGCATTGAGCGCGATGTCATTCGATGGCCTACTCAGCGTATGCCCTATCCATCTCCATTTTCTTTTACATATTTGTTGAGCAATAGGCTCTTGGTTGGTTTATTCACCACCAGAGTTTCTTATTGCTAATTCTTTCCAGTCATTTGATCTTCAGTGTGGAGTGAAGGCAGCTATTGATAAAAGTCTGTGCATGTCAGTACCATACGAAATTCTTGAATTATACTGGCCAATTTACAAGTTCAAGGAAACATCAGATAATCAGGTTGAAACTATAACAGACAACTTGATGTGGTGAAGAGTGAAAATTATTGAATAACATTTTACACAATTTATTCATAACTCTCAAAACAGGCTGTCCCTTTAATAAATTTATACATTGTATTAAGAAGAAAATAATCCTTAAAAAATGTGTTGTTAGATATTAAGGATAGATAGGAAGAAACATTCTTTTCAACCTGGACTTTTTATTCATTGAGACTGATCAGAAAGATGTACCTTCAATCCGAATGAAACACAGTGGCAAAATCTCTGGAATCGATACTGATTAACGCAAAATAGAGCACATCAAAGTCGACAGATAATCAGAGTTTGACTAAATATGGTAAATGTATGGAAGGGGAGTTTCAGTTAGTTTAGTAAATCTATGTAGGCCAAGACACAAAGGTAGAACCAAATAGAGTTACTTTCCCGAATTCCCATAACTTAGACCTTGTGTAGAAGACGAGTTCGAATTCCTTTCGAAAAGTTCGATGAAATACGATAAATAACCATGAAAGCGCTTTCTTCTATCCATTTAGTGACCATTATCAATCAAATGAGACAAAACTGAGCTTCTTTTAGGTTTTGTTTGACCTTTTCTCAGTCATGACACAAGGTGCTCAGAGATGCGTTTGTGAAGCTGTCTAGTTGTTCGTTCTATGCAGCTTTCTCCACAGGAGCAGCTAAATTTCTAAATGCACATGGAAGTGATACAACTAGATAACTTATCTTTCACCTGAGCAATCATAATTGGTCGGCTACAACAGCACATGTCCATTTGATCTTGTTTTCTGGAGTCCTTTTTAGCTGGCTCTACGAGTAACCATAAGCTCTCACCTCCTCCTCATATGATTTCCTCCATGTCACCCTCGGACGACCAACTCATTGCTTCTCATTCGGGTTCTACTCGAGGGCCTGACGAGTGAAACCACTCAACGGTCTCCTCGGCATATGTCAAATCCACCTCCATTTCCTTCTGAACATTTGTTGGGCGATAGGTTCTCAGTTGGTTCATTGCCAGAGTCCCTTGTAGCTAATCTTTTCTGGCCGTTTGATCTCCATTATGGATATATCCTAAATCATTTTTCAAGGAATCATTAGTGTAGATCCTTCTTGCCCCATTTTTGAGGCGTTTGACCAAACTGACTTCATTGTGGATGTGTACGAAGCTAAAGAAAAGTATATATTGTCTTATAGACGTAGTCCTTCTATAAACGTCTCTTTTGAGTAAATCGTCTGTTCTTCTGCTCAAGTACAGATGAGGAAAATATACATTTGCCATCATGTCCTTCGTTTTTGTCAGTTTTCTGATGAAGAATAATAAATATATCATCAATATAATGATAATGACAATGCGCTGATCTTAATGGGTTATCCTAACATATCTACAAGGAGACACATGAGAAATGAATACAATAAAACGAAGAGAACCACAGTTAAAAAGAAACAGTAGTTCATGAAGCGCCAGTTTAATTGATAGGATCCCACACACTTTGTTATTGTTCAATTATCTTAACGACTGTTAATCTCGCATAAGTGGTATATCATCATTTCCCAGGCACTTTGTTATTGTTCAATTATCTTAATGACTGTTAATCTCGCATAAGTGGTATATCATCATTTCCCACGCATTTTGATATTGACTATTACGACCAATTATTTCAAATACTGTTAGCTGTCTGTATTGGTTGTAAAAATGTATAAATACCATTTCCTAAATAAGTTTCTTTGTCGTAGTTGTTGTACTACAATATACAGTCACAGACCAGCTTTTGTCTTTTGATATTTGCGTGGTTCGCTGAATCGGAAGGTACCAGAAGCAGATAGGCGTATTAGTCAGGCGCAGACAGAACAAGGCGACAACGTCCTCATTTAATTCCGCTACAGTTATAACATTAATGGAGACATAGCCAATGAAGTTCTTTACCAGAGATTGTTTAAAGACATAAAAAGAATTTATACTGCTGTCACCTCTTGTTTATCATTTTCCAGTCGACAAATTATGATTGCTTAGATGAAAGATAAGTTATCTAGTTGTATCACTTCCATGTGCATTTAGAAATTCAGATGCTCATGTGAAGGTAGCTATACAGAGCAAACAACTATGCAGCTTAACAAATGCATTTCTGTGTGTTTTGCTTTATGGCTAGGAAAAGATCGAACAAAATGTACAAGAAGCTCAGTTTTGTCTCATTTGATTGATAATGGTCACTAAGTGGACAGAAGGAACTCTTTCATGATTGCTTATGGCATCTCACCAAACTTTACCAGGGTAATTCGAACTTGCCTGTTTTACATAGCCCTGAAGCTGTGAGAATAACCTTATTCTTTGTTTACCCTTTGCCTAGGTAGATTTAATAAGCTAATTTAAACTTCTCATCCTATTGATACACTGGCTATAGTTATTTAAACTCCGATTGTCATTCGACTTCAATTTTAGCATAGTATATAACTTCTGATCTTAAAAGATTTTGACCATAATTAATTATGGATTTGTTTACACTATCATGCAATCCTTATTATTCTTATCGCCATCTGCAACAACTACTTGTAGTGTGGTGAGAGCTGTCTACTAGCCAAATTGGTAGACAGTAATTGACGTCAATGTTTACGTTCTCAAGATTTGTCGTGAGAAAATATGAACAAAGACTGATTCAAAACCGACCACAGCAGACTTTGCGTAGGCGGATACAGTTAACATATAGATGATCTGACATTCAAGAAACAGTCACAAAGAGATGAAAGATTAACTTCAAGTGAGAAACAACCAATCAGAAGACTGTGTTTGTTTGCTTAACTAATCTATAATAATGTACATGAAAATATATAAATATGCTTTGATTTCCTTAATAAAGGATCTGTTGCCTGGCCCTTGTCTTCTGTTGTTACAGTAGTATTGTTATCACTGACATTATTATCACTGTAATTATTGTGATAGTTGATTCTAATTGCTGCTACATTTACAACACTTTAAATTTATCTCTTTTCTACAAATTCACCTTTATCGATAAAGACTCTTATAGTTTAAAGCTATATGCATATTAGAGCAAAGTTTGAAGATGATTCAATTGGAAACAGTTTTGTTCACTTATATATATATATCTTATTTTAATTTTAACAATGAGAACATTTAATAATTTCAAGTATATAAGATTTAACCGGACAAAAAAAATAGAGACAGAAAATGCAAAGGTTTTAAACCATGAATTAATAATAATTGCATGTGCTTCGTTAGGCAGTTAGTAACGATGTCCTATTGGGTATAAATTTTGTATTGACCAATGTAACAGGATAGCTTTTTTTTCCCACTGTAACTCTAAAAGTCTACTAAAATGGTGGCTTATAGCAACAGTTCATGTTATTGTTATCATGAGTCAAACGCTTATTTCGTGAACGCTTAGATTAAATATCATTAATAAGAGAAATTTATATAAAACACTAACGTTTTAAGGTTAAGATACGATGTACTTAAGTAGCTAACTAATTTACTTGTACTAGTGACTGATCTTTAGGTCATAAGAAAAAGATGTAAACAGCGAAAAAAAAACTTTCTTTTAGACGATTCATTTTCATAAGCTGTACATTAGTAATTGTATTTAACAAAGAAATCATAAGACCAATTAGATACTGGTAAAATTTCTCCTCGAAAATGTATCACGTAATGTAAGGTGTAGTCTAGAAGGGGTGACTAATTGGAAATTAGAGAAGCGGGCAGAAATTGGCATGACGTAGTAGGTGTGGGAAAATGACTAATCAATATAGTTGTGTAGAGTGGACAAGAACCAATGGAAAGACAATAAAGTGTTTTTATAAAATCTGTATGAAAACGCGATGTTATCAATAAACAGTAGTAGAGTGATAATAAAGTAAGGATGATGAGAATAATAATAATAATAATGGTAATGATAATAAACAAAAGGAAGCAAAATTATTGTGAGAACGTTACTCTGGCCACGGTAGGGCGAGAGAATGTATGTGGTGCTTTCGAATGCAGAGGTCCGGTTTCAGATCCCGAATAGGCAATGATTCAGCTATGTACAGATGGCGTACTCGAATTCCTTTTGTACGATATTGAGGGACTCTGTGTAGCACTGTGAAGCACTTTTTGAATTTTCCTCTCACTCCTATTCAAATCCAGGTCCTATCACTTCGTCCGAAATTTCGCAATGTATTGAGTAAAATCAACGCATTACAAACCAAAGTCCAGTTCCAGAATTTAATCTCACTGACATTTGACTTGTCACCTACTTTTGAAAAATAACTGGAACAATTGAAAGCTTCAATTCTCGATAGCTGCTAAAAGTAAATTCGTACACGACGGAGCCATCGTTTTTTGCTTTCCAAAGAACACAGAAAACATCTTCGAGAAAATAAAGACATAATCCTCGTCCGTCCTGATAAGGACAATTGGATTATGGTAATGAATAGATCCGACTATAACAAAAATACTATCAGACAACACGAAATTCTTCAAACCACCTAACCAGGAAGACACAACAGAAAAAGAAATCCTTGCAAAATTGCTGAAGAAAATGAAAGAAGATTCAGTCATAACATCGGAGGTATATGAATAAATAAAACCACACAGTTCAATTATTCCAAGACTATATGGATTGCCTAAAGTGTATAAGAAGAATGTTCTACTTTGACCTATCATAGATATGGTCAACTCACGATATTATCAAATCGCGAAGTGGCTAGCTGATATCCTTGAATCAGTAAAAAGACATATGACAAAGTATAGTCTTAGTGATACATTTGACTAATTCATTGAGAGATATCAACATGTTTGAAAGACAAATGCTTTCACTAGATGTCACCTTTCCATTTACAAGCATCCCACTGATCGAGACACCTGTGACTACATCGAAACCAACAACCTAGAAGTTCCTCTTCCCATCAATTACTTGAAGAAACTACTCAGATACCCGTTTAATATCCAATTCAAATTCAATGAACAATTCTATATACAGAAAGATTGTGTAGCTATGGGGTCTCCTCTCGGTCCACTCCTAGGTGACTGCTTCATGGCGAGTCTCCAAAACAACATCCTCGATCCTTTGATCAGTCAACTGCATTTATACAGGCGATACATAGATGACACGTTCATAATTTGTGATGAAAAAGTTGATTTAGAGTATCTCCTCAAAACCTTCAATGCATCACACCCATCAATAAAATTCACCTTAGAACGTGAATCGAACGCGGCATTTCCATTCCCCGATGTACTACTTACCAGAAGACAAGACTATACGATCCAAAGATCGATATGTATGGCAAGCCAACATGGACGCGACAGTTCATCAACTTCCAGAGCTTCGTCCCACTGGTCGGAAAGCAAAACCTATTACGTAGCTTATGTTCAAGGATTCGAAAAATCTATTGGGAAGACAGGATAGAGAAAGAATTAAATTTACTACATGAAACCCTACTAGAGAACGGGTATTCACCCAGATTTATCAACAAAAACATGAATGTAAAGCCTCTGTCGCCAAAAGTGACAACTGTTCCTCAGAAAACTCTCCTCATGAACCTGGAAGTCAAAGGTGACATCGAAAAAGAAATTCTAAGAAACCACCTTTCTAAATGTCTGAAGAGAACATTTCAAGCAGCCACCTTACGCATCACATTCTCCAGCAGACATTTAATCCAGTCTAACGTTAAGGATAAGTTACCGCTTTTGGCCACCTCAGTGTGTATTTATCAGTTTACTTGTTCGTGTAGAGCAAATGATATCAGCCGTACTCAACGTCAATTCCGCAAACGTATTCTAGAATACTAGCAGCTCCATCCTCGAACACCCTGTCAACTCTGGACATCGATTACCCGTCGCATGAATGATTCACAGTGCTACACAGAGTCCCTCAATATCGTACGAAAGGACTTCGCATACGCCATCTGTACATAGCTGAATCATTGCCTATTCGGGATCTGAAACCGGACCTCTGCATTCAAAAGCACCACATACATTCTCTCGCCCTACCGTGGCCAGAGTAACGTTCTCACAATAATTTTGCTTCCTTTTGCTTCCTTTTATTATGTAAGTCTATTATTATTATTATTATTATCATCCTTACTTTATTATCACTCTACTACTGTTTATTGATAAGATCGCGTTTTCATACAGATTTTATAAAAACACTTTATCGTCTTTCCATTGGTTGCTGTCCACTCTACACAACTACATTGATTAATCATTTTCCCACACCTACTACTCAGTCATGCCAATTTCTGCCGCTTCTCTAATTCACAATTAGTCACCCTTTCTAGACTACACCTTACATTACGTGATACATTTTCGAGGAGAAATTTTACCAGTATCTAATTGGTCTTATGATTTCTTCTTTGTTAAATACAAATACTAATGTACAGCTTATGAAAATGAATCGTCTAAAAGAAAAGTTTCTTCACTGTTTACATCTTTTTCTTATGACTCAATATAGGAATATTTCGTTCATAATCTGTAGGTGGTTCAAACAAGAAGAAATAAATTACTCGCTTGAATATTTAATAGTGAATATTCAATCTAAATGGTGAAACTTGAAAATAGCCTTATTTCGAAATATTTCCCAGCACTTAAAGTGCAAACCGGCATCACCATTCTACACTTCAAACAATTAAATGCCGCGGAGACAGTAAAAAATCCCAAGCTCATTGTCATTACTCTACATATGTAGCCATGACTTATTGGTACAGATGTCTTCAACTTTTAACCACCAAGTCGTTAACACAAACCCAGCCTTAACGACCAAATCTTTGACAGCTACGTAGTATTTTATTTATTCGCATACGATAAATGTAGCTTTTATGCCAATGGATGAAAATATATGTGCCTGTAACTCCATTATGGATAAGATTTTATTTTGATAAATCACACAGTGTTATACAGTTATATTAACTGATGACGTTTCGAGCACAAATTATTGCTCATAATCATATCAAGTTACTCACACAACTTTTTTTCTTTCATTTATATACATGTGTGGAATCGATTAGATACTGGATCAGAAATAACAGTACGAGTGTTATTGATTCATTACAATTAGATGGGAAATACGACGAGTGTTTTTATAGTCATAATAAGTAACTTGTTAGAATGTTGTGATGTGTTTGAATTGAAATAGAATTTTAGGATTATTTATTATCCTCTTCTGATTTGACCGGCGGTAATAATATCTTCCATATTTCTGGTATTTGCATTGAGTCATTTCTGTTGCATGTGTTGGGTGTAGACTCAATGAATAAGGATTCCGTAATCAACCACTCTCTCCACCTACCTATGTTACTTTTTAGAATTTTAACCCTATTCCACCCTATTGTGTGGTTGTTTGTTAATGCTTGAAGTGCAATAGCTGAGCTTTTTTCTAAATTACTTATCTTTTCAGGGTCAACCATTCTTACCTTAGCTAAATTCTTATGCTCTGATAATCTGAGTATCCCTGACCTACTAGTTTGACCTATGTAGTTGACTTCACAGTCATTGCAGGGTATTTTGTAAATTATATTATTTTGTTTAATTGGTTCAACAGGGTCCTTTAACCTACAAAGCTTGTCTCTGAGTGAGTTTGTAGGTTTGAATGCCACCCTAATTCTTGCTTTATTAAGAATCCGACGTAGAGTCTCAGATGTCCCCTCCTTATATGGTATAACAGTAGATGACTTATATTCTCGCTTATTTATGTTATCATCACTAGTTTCACAATTATTTTTATTTTGTGTTTTGGCCTTTACTGATCTTCCTAATGAATTTTATAGGATAGTTATTCAACACCAACGCTTCTTCTGTCTGTTTTATTTCGTCATTTCGTCACAGATAGAAGAAGCGTTGGTGTTGAATAACTATCCTATAAAATTCATAAACATATTTTGCAAAGGAAATGTAACTGACTGATGGGTCAGAAGTAGAACTTTGCAGTCCGGGAAATGGTGAAAAAGTTTTCTTTATCTGTGCTGACAACTTGTCAGTAAAACAGTCCAACTCACTTGACAAATTCACTTTTAATCCTTAAACTAAAAGTTGATGCAAACCAGTCCTGCAGTATCGTCTTACATTCCCTACGGGGGACGGAATAGCACAACAAATACATTCACATGTTTGATTAGGATATTCAGAAGACTACATTTTCCTATAGTCTACCTGGAAAGACTATATTTATTGCGTGCTTGGAACCAACGAAAACGTTCAATAGTGGGGAATTAGTGCCTAAGAAGTTACCTCCTCCAGTACATCTATAATAAAATCTAACAATATCGTGTTATAAGGCTTTCCAGTAGTAACCAACCATAAGCTCTTGCAGAGCTGAGTGGTTCGGCAAATTAAACCAGATAATACTGTCAGAACAAATGTTAGTAATGTTTGTGTTCATCTGTCTACATGAACTTAACAGGCTCTGTTAAAATACCTCCTTACCAAAGAAGTTGAATGCACCATTAGGTCAGTAAATATGAGAAATGTAGAACGCTGGTGTATCTGAGATCCAGGACCTGTCAAAAAGCAAAGATATGATCGATGCTATCTTATCCGACCACATAGCTTCCAGGGTTCTTTCACGAGTTTTGTTCCCGAACTTCACTTAGGTTTTGAGTGGCTATGAACCCTAAGATCTTAAACATTAGTGATCAAGTTGACAGCTGTATGGTTATTATAAAGTGGAATAAGAAATGATCTATATCAACCCACAGGAAACAACTTGGACTCCTACAACACTACCTGGTATTTCAGTTAAGATAGGCGTATTAATTTTAATCAGAATTGGAGAACTGCTAGTCACTTCCCATTCAGAATGAATTTGGTTGGTGGACAATTGCAGTATAGTTATAAGCCAGTTTAACTCTCCCAAAGTGTTACGTTCGAATTTCCATTCATTTGCCATGGGAAGTTATTAAAATCTTATCGTGCAACAGATTTTTTTATTCGCTGCAAAGAAAATATAACAGGCAAAGAATTATGATAAACCATCAATGAATTGCACTTACTTGGTGCTACCGGTGAAGTTTATACCTGCAAGTTGAGGGTGTTCACACACTACCCTACCAAATGTAGGACCATCAGCCGGCACAAAGTTAATCACACCAGGTGGCAAACCAGCCTCACGGAATAATCTTTAAATAAGAAAATGACGAAGTTTGTAAAAAAGAAAAAAATAGCGAATGAATGCACCGCAAATAAAGAACACAGTCAGGTTTAACATGCGTTTGACAATGAGTATGCAATTTGAAGCTACAAAACATTCACTTCGACTAAATTATTGACAACCAAATAGTAAAAAAATAATCTACTAGTTTCAGTACTTTTGTGCAACTAGACCACAAGCAGCACTAATCTCCTAATCTACTGGCAAAACAACCAGACTTACGAAAATGTTGTTTAACTATTGGGTGTAAATACTTTTAAATCGATTGTTTTTACAAACAGATTACCACAGTATAATTAGAAAACAAATAACAAAGTCTAAGACAGAGGCTTTAATTTCAGATAAAAATTAGGATTAGTTGCGATGCTGAAATGTCATCTCATAAGACTTTAAATACCAAACAAATCGTATTCATAAATAATTATCTAGTGTAACTAGTGACTCAGACTACTCAACTATTTATTTCTCATGGAATCCACGTTTGTTTACTTGAGGATTTAGTGACGTTGAATAAAGCTGGATTACACTAGGTAGACTAGAACTTTTATCCATCTGATGTCAACAAAATTTGTTTCATGAATCACAGTAACTAATTTATGGTAAAACTGGCAAAGGTTTGCGCAAATTAACACAGTTAGGTTGGCGTATTATTATCTTGACCCTGACATGGTGGACCATAGTTGCATGATGTAGGTTCTATGTAACAGACTATGGGTCACACTAAATGTGTGAAGACTGTATAAGCAGAGTGAGGTGTGAACCCAGAATCAATTGGTTTGAAGTCAAGTGCTGAGGTCAATAAACCATATTTTTCTTCTTTACTTTTCATTAACAGTCGAAATATTATAGAAGTAACCTTGCGATTTAGCTCAGAAAACATTTATTCAGTCACTGTAAGCATACTACAAAGTTCACTTTAGTAAAACTACACATATAATTGCGATTTTTTCTGCTCAGAATCATTAACTAAAAAATATAAAAGGAACGCATAAGATGTGGTACAACTGGATGAATAATAGTTGCATTTTGATTAGCATAATTTGATTTCCTGATTACGGTCTAAGCGACGGTGCAACATAGTAATTTAACGCCAATGAAGGCAGTACAGCAACTCTCATGACAAGGATACAAAAACGAAGGCATGTTGAAGACTTCCTTGAAAACATTTTAACGTAGCTGTTCCTTTCTATTTACTTCTGTTACTACATTATACTTCTCCTTGACTTAACTTTGGCTAATAATGACATATCCCTAAAGTAATCTATCTAAGAATGTTACAACCAAAAAGAAAATATATCCACGTACAACACAAATATGTTATAAAGTATTTCATAATTTTTAATGTGTACTACGAACTCAGATATCATTCAGTAGCTGGTACTAAATTATAAACATATTTGACAAGCGCAACATATGGCAGTTCTTTTGGTTAATGTATGGTGGTATTTCCAGCTACTCTTTAGACCGGATGGGTAATAAGGAAAAGTTACATTACATCTTGCCTCATTTCTCAACACTATTATGAACTAACGCTTCCTAATTTTGCACAGCGTTAGGGATTTCAAATACGTACATCTAAAAAGAAGTGATATCTACGGTAACCTGATCTTTATCTGAATATCATTTATACAAAATATTTTTCAAGAAGCATGGTATTTGACAACTCGTTTAGAAGACTTCCTACCTGTAGACAAGATAATTTGAATATACTGCTGTATCAGAAGGTTTCCAAATCACAACATTGCCCATTAAGGCTGGTGCGCTCGCCAGATTACCAGCGATAGCAGTAAAGTTGAATGGTGGTATTGCAGCCCAGAATCCCTTTGGGAGGAGAAGAATTACCAAATGGAATGGAATTTACTTCAGTTGGTCGATACACAACTTCGTTTCTTGCATCCTCAGTATTAATTGGCTTGTATGCCAGGGCTTCCTATAGGTTAAAAAGAAACTTAAACTTATAGCAATTACTTACTGAGGCAAACTGCACATTAAACCTCAAAAAATCAGCCAACTCCGCAGCTGCATCTATTTCTGCTTGGAAAATAGTTTTTGCCTATAAGTAAATTAAAACAATGAATGACATCACCTGACCGAGAATGGTTGAAGCTAATAATTCCATTCGGCGTTTATCACCAACAAGGTCAGCTGCTCTTAGGAATATTTTAGCACGTTCATCAAAACTGGTGCGAGACCACTTCTGGCGAGCCGCAAGACACGATTCAATCGCGCGTTTAATTTGTTCTTCTGAACCATAGTAGAAATTCGCCAGCGTTTTCGAATGCTCAAATGGCTTAACCACTAATACTAAAATATCTTCTACTTACCAAAACTTGTTTTCGAAGTTCTTTTGATGATTCCTCTTGCGAATCAATACAAATAGGCACGTTATACGGAGCTTTGGAAATCATAGTATGCAGTGTAGCGTCCAATTTTTGACGCTCATTACTGCCAGGTTTATGCAATAAAACGGGCTCATTTTTAGCTTTGTAAGACCTGCACAACACTATTTTGTAGTGCCACTTGGGTAAACAACCAAAAACTGTGTGTGTCCTAAAAGGTTTTGATAAAAATGAGATAATAAGTCAGTTTTCACATTAGAAGTAGATATGTAGTCACTTCTCTTTTGACAAACATGTAAGTCTAGGGTGGAATACGCTACATAAACAAAAAGTGTATTATTTAAGCAAGACATAATAAAGCAAAGAGTTAGATGTTTAAATCCTTAGTGCTAACAGAACCCTATATCACTGCTAGCGGAATTAAACTAGTACCGATAGGAATATACAGCTTCTAAAATTACAAAGATCTTTAAAAAATATGAAACACCTTATGCAAGCATGCTAAGACTACTTTTAATTACTTCTTAGTGAAGACTAGTCAGGTGTTTATAATGCTGACACTAACGGGTATAATCATTGGATTTATCAAAACGTTAACGATTCATATTCACAAACTCCCTAAAATAAAACGAAACGTAATCTTTAGTAGAGGAGTTAGTGCAATTGCTTGAATGAGTTCTCAATAACCGTTGTTACTAAACACGCTGTACCTACCTACTACTAGCGATTCAAAAGAGTGCCTCAATACGATAAAAATGTAAATATTTATATTCCGATTTTCAGCCTAACATTTTACTTGAGGGAAACATAGAAGCCATTCAACAGTGGTTAAGTATTAATACCACAAAGTGTTAATGCAACACTTTCTTTACAAAAATAAAACTAATCATCATCCAAAGTATAAAATCATTGGCGCAATAATACGTTGTAGTATTACAAGTAGATTTAGGATGTGAACATTGCTGACATTTAAAAAAAAGATATTTTAAATAGACATCTAGTTGTCACTATTACTTAAATCTCTGGACAGCTTATAACTGTGGAATAACAACACAAACCACACAAACAATACCTTAGATTCATTTGAGACCTCGCAAACAGCGTAACAGCACTGAGACAGTAACTACAACTACGCCCTAAAAATCTGCTTTTTAAAATTCGACACCACTCGCGTCAAGGTCATATGTGTTATCGCTCATGGTTCTTTATCCTTTTATTTCAGAAAAGTTGAGACAATAATACAGACTGCATCCTTTTCAAAATAGCAATTCACCTTTTGGTCGCATGTTAGAAAATATTTCTACGGGCTATCAAAACTTTTGATCAGTCAGCCTCACAGCAAAATAAATTACGATATACAGAGAATGAATCTAATTTTTGTAGTCGAACATAAAATTTTCTGTTGTCAGAATATTTTCTTATCTACCATTCGAACCAAATGTTTGTGAGTCCACTTTTTGCACCTCATAATCGATTTTCCGGTGCGGCTAACGCGAAAAATGTTTGCTGACGGGTCGTTTTCTTATTCTCAGTAGCTACATTCTCGACCTACTAACAATTGGTCACCTCTTTGGAAACTTACAGGAAATTCTCATCCTTCTTTAAGTGATTGCCAGCTGTCAGATCAGCAAACCTGTCATGGAGAAGCAACATCAACGTGTAGTCACATGGTTCTGCGGATTAGACCATTGAAATTTGTGTCAGGTGGACCAGACCTTACATTCAAGTAACTGAACATCTAGTAGCTTCTTGCTCTTAATAACTTTAATTTTTTGTTTGAATGTAATGTGTTATTCTGATTTGGTTTTACATTGCACATCCCTACGATGTTGACAAATAATCTATTGCTAAGCCTGCATATTTTTTGAACTTGCGCCGACTATTTCACATAATTTGTTATTTTATGTTTTGTCGTATTTATGTGTTTACTGTGAGTCATCCCTATCACCTCATATAAATCTCATCGGCCGATAGTCTATTTTCAGTTGTTTCTTCCCCTTCGTTTTGAGTAGCTGAATTGAAAGCCACTGTCTAGAATATTTAGTTACATCATAGTCGCCCACGGTCACGCGACAACAGGTCTTCTTGGAAACCGTTTAAGGTATCTACTGAAATAAGGAGAGTATGTTGGTATCATGGGAAATCTGAACAAGACCATCAAACGCACACACACCTGCACTTTCAGTAATAATATGCCAGCCAAGGGAAACTCCCAAGCCAGACAGTGCTGGTAACATCTACTACTGGGAACCCTGAAATTCACCCATTTTACCTGACAGAAAACAGGCTCTTTGTTTGTTGTGTATACACCAGCTGAAATCATCTTGATTTCTCTTTAACTATCAAAACGATCAACACAAACTCAAGATGGTCACTTCGTCCAGCTTATCAGACAAACGTAGGGATCTATGGTGAAAATCACCTGTCTGTGACCTTTATCTGCTCCCCTGCTCCACACGGATTTCTGGGAAGTCAGTTGGTTGGGCTTCTTGAACGACATCGAGTTTGTTTCCGGTCGGCTTCAACTAGAAATGACGCTCATGATTGTCCTGTGGCCATCTGTTCTGCTAAACCTGGGCTTCGATCACACTACTGGCTGAATCTTTAGCTTGGCCCACCTAATCGGGTAACCAGGTTGGTTTTAAAACCAACTGGAGAAAGTAGAATATAACCCTTATGGTTGTCTAAGGATGGATGTATTAGTGACGATATGGAGACAGCACATAGATATACAATGACGCCGCTACACACAGAAGAGTTCTTGTTCTCTGGAAACCCAACTGTCCTTCATATGTTTCAATCAGCACACATAAAATGACTGTTAAGGGTAAAGCGGCTAAGGTTCGATTTACTTGACAAACTTCTTTCATCCCTTACAGATTTTCATTGTAGCCAATGTTTTTGTGCTATGCTTGATGTTTATTTCTGAGTAGTTTTAACCTATTCGTTGATATCATCAGCAGAATACTGATTGGTGTTTCTGTTTAACTAAATGTCCGTGGGATCATTTCGGTTTGCCCCATTTGTAGCAATTACAATGAACAGTCAGAAGACTGCATATTCTCCACTTTGATACACCATTTAATAATAATAATATGTTCTCATTTTTGTACATGAGGGACGCCAGTTTACAGGTATCATCAATATGATAAATTACATATACGATTAGTGAGCATATTTAATAATAATATAATAAAGTACATATGTATTCCTACCTATGTAGGAAACACCAATTGCACAGGCATGGATAAGTATTATTTAAATTACATAAATTTTGTTTATGGTGAAATTACGTGGCTGCTGTCTTTTTGTCTTTAGTTTGTGGGAACAGTCTGATAACTAGTGGTTCAATTGGGCACATCAAGAAATGTAGAAATATTGTCTTCGCATTAACAAAAAAACCCAAGTATGTTTTGGATGGATTACGAATACTTGGAAAAAAATAAAGCTTGAAGTCATTTCCCTCATATAACAATGAAATGCATCTTATAATAATATATTCTTACTTTATGTACATGAGGGACGCTAGTTTACAAGCATCATCAATATGATAATAATGTATACATGGAGTAAGGATGTTTACAATTTTTCACTGACAAGGTAAGGGAGCAATGACAGTAAGCACACTTTACATAAATTAAAACAATTTATATGATATAATCCTAGGTACTATTATTGTTTTAACTTGTCGAAAATGCGCGTTACAACTGAGTGTTGCGTTACCTGTGGTCGATACATTGGACTACTCACAAAAGTATAAAAATGGCTTGTAAAACGTTAGTTAGTTTACCGTCAACAATGTTTTCAGCAATATAATCTGCGAGAGGCTCACCACAGCAGTTGGTATCCAGTCAAACATGCAGTGAAGTATTATTGATTCAGCAACCGGTTGATTTTTGATTCTTTTCGGTCTGGAACCAGAATGACTGCGAACCAATCCATACAAAATATCGAATGAAGCATGCTCGAGCAGAACATTACCATCGAATTAGTCAGTGGGATTTGAAATGCAGCTGTCAGCATATTTATATTACGTCTTAGATACCCAGGTTTATTGGCGTTGTATAGGTAGTGATTTGGATTTGTCAGCATGATCAACATATGGATGAATATCCAGATGTGTACTACAACTTGTTTGCTGTTCTGATTTAGTTGATTACATCTCGTGTAGGATTTGATGATTCTACGATTTTGACATTCCGCAAAGTGTCTCCGTGATCATGCAGAGTATACGCATAATGTCCTTGTGCTGTGCCACAAAAGTGAGGATGTCTCACACGTAGTTATTATTAAAATTTTCACAACAGGTCTACTTGTCTGAGCATGTTCACGAAGCCTACTGCCCTACAAGCCAGCAACTAAAGGTGTGTTTTCACATGGAATCAAACTCGGGAAATCAGACTCTCCAACAGCCCACAGGCCTATCTGTGCGTGCCGCGCCGAAGACCGACCGTATCTCTAGTCTTTTTGGTGACTAAAGTGCTCCAAATAATGTAACAACTTAACCGCAATCTCATCCTGAGTCTGCTTAATCTGTCACCCACAATACTTGAGAAAATTATATTCTCTGAATTCGGGTTTAGTCTGGGTATGTCATCAAATTCCAGTAGTCACAAAAGGAACTGAAAGGGTATTTATCATGACACCTTTCGAGCCATCCTAATTTCCGCGCATTTCCTTCGGTTGTCCAAGCACAAAGCAAGTTTTTGTCAAAGCGACCGGCGGCAGACGGGTGAGGATATACGCCATCGCGTCTTAAATTTACCTGTCTTCTGTTTTGCTTTTCTCCCACTGGCTAGAACGGTGGCGGTCGGTTGGACTTTAAGTTTCCCGTAGGTAGGTAACGTCGTGTATGGTTTTGTTTGATTTCGTTATATATCATTTGCAGAGGGATACGATGAATGTAACGCTTAACTATTCTAGTGGTGTTTTACCGTTTTTTGTAGTCACAAGGCTTTTTTGTCGTACACTCTGTTGAGACTGGTTAGTCGGTTTGTGTAATCAGTTCGAGAGGGTGGTTCTACATGCAACAACAGGGGAAGTTATGTTAAGTCTTCACTAATGGCCATGCAGGTGTTATTTGTTCGAGTCTGTGATACAGGATTACTTTGGATGTGAGTGTCCTGTCCTGTTTGATTGAGTTGAAAAATAATTTAACATTGATGCAATTTGGATACTGGGTAATTTCCGTCGAATAATGGGAGATACTTCCTGAACGAAGACTTCCGTCCTGGACTGTGCTCAGCCAATATATGTAAATAAGATTGTTTACGCTGCAATGAAATAAATCTTTTCATCTAATATTCTTGTGTTCCATTAGATATGCTTGCGGCGAGAGTACGGCATGCTAGACCGGAACTCCTCAGGATATGAGCTTGTTACTATACGTAAGCGTAATTCTGCACGAAAACTATCGATTACTATAGGTGATGACTTATGAGGACTTTCGTCAAGCTTACAGATCTGCCTAATGTCACGCGATTACGTCTCAGAGCCATAGGTGTATCTGTCGGGACCAATGACGAAAAAACTAGTTATTTGAAAGATAATAATAGAACTGAGGCACTGCGGTGGAGTTTGATTTCGTATAAGATTTAGTGTATTCAAAAGTAGTACACTACTATTATTTCACTTAAAGCGTGATGTCAGTCCAAATGACTACGGCTGTTAACGTATAATGCAACATGATATTTACAAGAGACGAATAATTGAGTAAACGGAGCTGTAGCAAATGCAGCACTATTTCACTTATATTGAATTATGCTACCAATTACTTTCTCAGGTCTCTTTATTAAGTCATGATGAAAAATTTATTTTCACCCAAAAATTAGAAAATCATAGTGAGCAGGATGTGAGGTATATTTAATGAAATATAATAACTAACTAACGTCTGTTCATATTTGTTTGTCGTAATTACTTCGACGGTGTTGAATTACTGTGACCAAGTTGACTGAAGTCATCAGACCTCCGTGAATAGGTGAATGAAGTGTACTGTTGAATCGGTTGCAATTTGAATAAAGTAGTAAAAACGTCAAGCATTTCATATTTACCCAACATCATCCACAGTACATGTGGGACATGAATTTCCAAGTAGTGACTATAAAATAGTAGTGTGTTCTTTTAACATCTTTCCTGAAACAAAACGCAGAGATTAAGCTGGCCAGACAACTATGAGATTGTACACACATGCTGACTGGGACTTGT